AAGATAACACTCCTGCAACCATGATTCTGGTCTTGTCACAACCAAAAACAACCCCTGGAGAGACTTCATAGGAGCCCTTGGGGCATGTTAGGATCTGTGACAAGGGGCTGTGTATCAATTGTGATACGCTAGCACCCCCACAAGGTGAGTGGAATACTTCCCCACAGTCTTTTCATGTTGCAGATATTGGCAAGCACTGTTCTCTCCCACATAACTGTTTCAAAAACAAGGAACAACACGCACAAGATGAGGGATTGAGTGCAGGGTCATCTATTGCAGCCGCCAAGAGGGCTTTGTTAACACCGAGAAAAACCCCTTTAGGTCCTGAACGTGGAGCCACCGGGGCATGCTAGGCTAATTGACAAGGGTGTGTGTGTCTGAATGAAGTGTTAGCACCCCCACAATGTGAGTTCAATAATCTTTCCTTCTATACTTCATCATCAAAGCAGCTAGCAAGCTTTATTCCCCACTACATAACAGAAAATAAGACTTCCTTGAACACATCAAGAGCAAAGAATTATAAATTGCAACAATTGAACGCACTTCAAAACGCAAGACTCTCAAGAATTTAATTTACCTCAAGATGCAAGATAACACAAACTTTTCAACAACTTATTTAAAATCAATTTAATCTTAGCAAATATCGACTTTATAAATTATCAAATAACAGCGGGATACTTACATTTCTTTCAAATTCAGTTTCAATTTTTCTTTTCTCTTTCTTAGGATGAGTTATGGTCAGAATTTTTGGGGCAAGTTATGCCAGTTTTTTTTCTTTTTCTTTCACAATCAGGACTTAAATCATCAAGACTACTTATTTTTAGGAAGGGAGGGTGTAATATTACACATTGTAGTATTTAAAGCTCAACAAGAGCTTTACAACACCTAAGAAGGGATAATCTACTACGTGTAATATAGTAGAAGTTGCCTAAAGACTGCCTTCTTCAAAGAAACCAGCACAATGGCACTTGCTGACGACTTTGCAATAACAGAGAAAAAGATAAAGGCACCAGAGAAATGAAGCAATACTGTTGTGTAGTATTATTCCCAGGTTTTAAGCGCAAAAAGTCCACACACTATGGTATTACTAGCAATACTGTTGTTAAGTATTGTTCCCAATTTGACTTATAGTCTTTAACACACGTAAATAAATTTCTCCTTGCTTTGAAGGGGCAGATTCAAGTGATCTTAGTACAAATATAGTAAATAAATGATGATTTATAACACTACAACAAAGGTATAAGATGCAGAAAAGGGAACAACAATCCCAAACTCATCAAGGAGTACTTATATCCACATGTAACAACCTCTACAATAGTCAACAGCCTCAAAAACCAGCCAAATCCGCCTAAAGAACCCTAAAAACCATGTAATGACGCAATTTAATGATCTTGTTACTAATGTATGATGTAATTTTCACAGCCAAAATTGATCAATGACACAATGATTTAATGTACAGCACTTCTTAAGATGAATACAGGTGCATGATACTGATCATTTATGACACCCATATGACCTATTTCCAATGAGTGATGAGTAAGATATTGAGTTGTTAAGTTAAGGTTTTTGGTGGAACATGTTGACTTGTGACTGTAAATTTGAGATTCACACCAATTTCTTAATTCCCTTATAACTTTTTACATACACCTCCGTTGTGGAAATCAAAACTGTTGGATGTTGGATATATTAGTGACGGATAGTGTTGTCTGGTTATATTTCAAATATGATTTATCTTAGCTACGACATGTTTCTTTTCTTTCTTCTGTGTGATTTGCTCACTAATATTTGTATTGTTGCTATGGTGCTGATGTTATTTCATCTGTTATATTTGATATATATGTTTTCTCTATCGTCACTTTCTCTTAACTCTTAGCTGTGTGTGTTACTCTATAAAAGCAGCCTATGAGTCCTCACAAGTTTGATCTTCATCTATTCGAACTTGTTCTTTTATCACTGAACAAGCATTCACTTACTAAGGACGTAATTGCTTATTCGTGATTGACTCATAGGTATGCTTCTTTCACTATTTTTCTACTCTCAATTATATTTCTCTTGTTACTTGTGTGTATGTTTTGTTGCTCTTGTCATGTTGCAAAATAAATTGATTTATTCAAACTTGTTCTTTTATAACTGAACAAGCATTCACTTACTAATAACGTAATTGCTTATTCGTGATTGACTCATAAAAACATGTCTACTTTTCATATTTTTTAAAGACCTCATTTTCTTTTTGAAACTCAAAGCTTTCTTTTATTGAAGATCATCTTTAAACTCATAGTTTATTTCTACATTTTATCTTTAAGATCATTCTTTTTATAAAATCAGTTTTTTCTTCTTGGATCAATTTTAATATACACAAATCAATTTACAATCAGGTTATTTCAATTCAGTTTCAAACAATTCCTTCAGTTTAATTTATTTTATTTCAAGATACACAATCAGAAAACATCTTAAAATATTATAATCAAAAGAGAAAAGACAACATTAAATAAATAGAAGAAATACATAGCAAAAATTAATTAAATTAAATCAAAATTAAATTGAAGCAACTTAGCTAGTATAAGAGGAACTAGAAAGAAACACAGACACGAAATTACTTACAACTCATACTTGAAAGATCCATCATAAGAGCATCCCCAATGCGCCGCCGGAAACGTAACTTGGACCTTACGTTCCTGACATAAACGTAAACCCAAGTTTACGTTTTCCAAAAAAGAGCCTCCAGCGCGGGCAAAGAGTTGCACAGTTGGCCACAGGTGCGACTCTGTTTTCTCGTCCAGCTGGAATACGTAACAATTGAGCCAATTTTTTCTGGCTGAGCCGTAAAGCTCGGAAAACGTATAATCACACGGTTTGGACACCTTGTGGAAAAAAACCCCCCCTCTTTGGCTGTTTCGTGTGAACTCCTCACATGATCCATTGTATCACCACTCGATCTAATCGAGATTGTGAACCAAGCAATCGTTTTTGGACATGGGTACAACCCCAAATGTGATATCCAGCTCACGCGGTGCTACGAAGTCTGGCTGAATATTAAATACAGTGTCAAACTGTCATTTATACACATCTGTACTCAGTTTCCGTATCCCGGCGCATTGGGGATGCTCTAAGAAACTTAAAGTTGAATCAAAGGAAAGGAAGATCAGTTGATTAGAGTGAGAGAAAGTGCCAAGAAGTTACTAAAATCAACTTAATTAAACAAGTCTATTACTCGTGGTTGGTACTCTATTAACCGAGTGGAATAGGTAAACCAGAGAAATGGAAAGAGGAAACAGTAAAATGAATATTTCATCAGATTGGTACCAATGTACTCGTATGTCCGAGTATATGTCCTAATAGAGACAGAAGAGAAACTAGCTCAGTCTAACCATGTGTTGGTTAGGAACAACTCAACTACAGGGTCCACTCCCCCGTATACTCTCACACTTCGCGCTCTAGTTTCTCATTTCTTCTACTCATCCACACCCATCATCATCTGTCCATACAGATTACAATTCAATCTAGTGAATTCCATTTTTCCCGGTTTCTCGATTTCGTTTTTCATGGAATTTGGACAAGCGAATGTTAATCGCAATGTCACAGAAGGTTTACAACTCTTGTTGTTCAATTATGAACAACAAGGTGGGTGTCATGCATACACAATGCAACAGCTTAGACAAGATTACGCATCTTTCGTACCCTTTAATCACCCGGATTTTCATCGGCATTTTTCTGCGTTTGCTATCCAAGCAATTGACATCGACCGTAGATACAACAGGTGGTGTTATCCAATTGGGGGCCCGCCCCCCCTGTCAATCTACCTATCGAACAAACAGTTCCATATATCTTCCCAAACGGCAACACCCCTGGGCCGCAACAAGAAGGTCAGCAGAGGGATGAAATCGAAGGATTTCAACAACGCGGTGGGAGGAATGATCAAGTTGATGGAAATGCGGAAAGAGAAGTGGGGGGAGCTAAGAAGAAGAAGAGAAGCAAAAGGAGGCGTAGCTCCCACAGCAGAAATCACTCATCTAGTAGCTCAGACTATTCCAATGACAGCCATGTGTATTCCTTTGTTCCCAAAGATGACAAAGCTATTACCAACGCACCACCGGAATGTCAAGCAATCATGCGTTATAGAAACGAATACAAGTCTAATAATCTCAAGAGAGCAGTGGACGCGTTTGTTTGGAAGAGCAACAAACCACACGAGTTTCCCAACGCACTGGTGTGGGACTTGTTGCAGTACAACTATATCGACTTGGAGAAAGTCAATGTGGGAGTTATCCCTGACACTTCAGACCAGTTCTCAAAATCTTTGGAGAAAGAAGCTGCGGCTAAAATCAAACCCCGCCGTTTTTCTGAGTCTGGGGAGTGGAGAAATGCTCTCAGTATATTACGTAAAAGCCTATCAATCGCATTTGTAAGTTGTTTTCCTATGTTTCGAAAAATCTTCTTCGATTATACTCTTGAAAGAGAAAGAACTTCTGGGGGGTAGGGCTACCTACGTATACCAATATACCAGTATATATATTGTCGCAGTCAACCAGAATGGTCGCTGACTAGTTTGTTTCGTGTGTATGGTGATCTCGTGGTGTTTACGGGATCAAATAGCCAAAAGCAGCAGATTCATTCAAGAAATATGCACACCACGTTAAATCGTTGGAAATCATCTTTACTAGGAGGGTAAGCAGGAATTACAAACCTATATACATATTGCTAGAAACGAGAAAGCCGATGATAGCTTTCCTCGATGTTTCTGATATAAATATCGTCATACTCATACATACTTGTTTACTCCTTTTTCCGCCCCGGATAGGGAAATTGGAGAGACATCATACCTTATGACGCCGAAATGCGTAAAGTGTTTGCCATCAAACCTCACTTATCATTCGCCGATTTTGATAGCTACGAGTTGGAACACGTCAAGTCCATGGCGTGGCCTAAAGCCTCTTCGAGCTCTCTTACTCGCTCTTCAGTTCCTATGCATAGCGGCTCTACGTCTTTTACGCCAAAATCTCATGGCCCGAGGCCAACGGTGGACAGGAACAGGTCCTCCCGCTCTCAACAAACTCAATTCAAAATCAAGCCTACGGAGGGCCTGCCGCGCAATCAGACTGTTTGCGGAGGCTGGAATCTCGACAAATGCCCTGACCCGCCGAAATGTGGCAGGATTCATGACATCTGCGACGTTATGGGGTGTTACGAACCCCATAAGCGAATCAACCATCCCAAATGACCTGTCTTTTGACGCGACTAAGTTTAAGGAGGATCTAGTTCGCGAGATGACGGAGCGTGACTACGGGACTCAATCTTTTAAGCGGGGCTACAAATGGGAATGGCCAGGGGCTAAAGGATATTCCAACACCATTGATTCTAGTTTGACGGCGGAGCCTCTGGATGCGCCTCCTCCGCTATCGGACGATCCGAAGGCAGCATATGCCCTGAAGCAATACTCGTCATTCTTTGTGTTGACATCTCCTATTGATGTAAACATGTTTGAATTCCTATTACGAGATCACCCTAACAGACCCTTTGTCGAGTCGGTGGTACAAGGGTTACGCGAGGGTTTCTGGCCCATGGCAGATCTGCCTTCCGAAAAGGTGTCTTTCGTGAAGAATCACCAGGTGTGCAATCAGGCGCCCGATCTGTTGACGAAAGCGTGCAAAGAGGAGGTGGAAGCAGGCAGGTATTCGGAAGGTTTTCACACTTTATTGCCCGGCATGAAGGTATCGCCTTTGTTATTAGTAGCTAAGAAGGGTTCTTCAAACATGAGAGTGTGTACAGATATGAGTTATGGGAAACCGTCGCTAAACGATCACATCATCAAGGATCGTATTAAAGTGTCTTTTCACTCCCTGATTTCTTTTGCACCCTATATGGTCGAGATGGCAAAGAAGGGGATACCACTTATGCTATGGAAGTCGGACGTCCAGAATGCTTACAGGATTCTGGCAATGGCTTTGGCTTGGCAGTTACGCCAGATAGTCTGTGTAGATAACATGTTTCACGTGGATCGGTGCGCGAATTTCGGTTCGGCAGCATCACCAAAGATTTGGTGTTTGTTCTTTTCTTTGGTACTTTGGATTGCGAGGACGAGGATGGGGATCAGTAGGATGAATAATCTCATGGATGACACGTGGGGGGTAGCTCCCTTGTCCTCCATGGTGGTCTTCAAAGGACATCAGGTCCCTCTTGACCAGGCAAAACTGTTGCTTCTATTTGATGTCCTGAACATTCCATGGGAATGGAAAAAGCAGGTACATGGAGTCTACCTGGAGATCATAGGACACCTGGTTCGATCTAAGGAGCTCTCTTTCTCCCTGCCGGACGATAAGAAAGCCAATCTTGTCATGGCTTTGAGGACCTTTACGTTAACTAAGTCCAGGTCTTTGCGCAATTGGCAGTCATTGCTCGGTTGGGCGTCGTGGGGGTTGAATTCTTTCCCTCTGGGACGCTGGGCCCTCCAGTCTTCATGGGAAAAGATAGCGGGGAAGTCTCACAAGTTTCTAGTAGTACCTCACAACAAAACGGTGCAGAAGGATCTGTCTTGGCTGGCCGACTGTCTGGAAAAATCGACGGGTAACCTTTTCCTCGAGGCGGTCATCTGGTCGGTTAGCGAGGCCGATTTCCTATGCACGGCAGACGCCTGCCCGTCCAGACTAGGGGTTTGGCTGCCAAATACGGTGGAAGGGTTCCATTTTGCCCTGCCAGTGCCGTCACGTGACATTTATTGGGCAGAACTCGCAGCCACGTAACACGCCATCCTAATCGGGATTCGTCGTGGAGCAAAACGGTTGCTTATATGTTCAGATTCCTCTAACGTCTGCGACTTATTTCTCTCCCACTGCCCCAAGGAGAAGGTTTGCACTATGTTTTCGGCCATTATCTCCCACATTCTTGAAGCGAAGGTCGATGTGCAAGTACATCATCTTCCGGGGGTGAAGAACATATTCGCTGACGTGTTGTCTCGCAACGCTCTCACCGATGTGCGACTCAAGATAAAGGAGGCCATCATTGCTCCTCTGGACGCTTTCCGTTCGTTGCCGGACGGGGGTTTCCTCTCTCAGAAATAACGCCTCCCGGTTCTTCACGTTTTTCTCTCCAAGCGTTCTTTTCATTTTCTCTTTTTCTCCTTTGTGTTCTTTTCCTTTTTGTTTTCCTTTTTGTTTTTTATTTTGCTTTATGTCCGCACCTTCAAAGCACAACCTTCTTCAGGCGCTCGCTAGGGCTGACGCCGATCAGGCACTGGCCTCGTCCACCAAGGCGAAGTATTGTAGCGCTATGATCTCTTTCTTAAATTTCTGTCACTCTATCTCAGTAGCTCCAGTCCCAACGGAACGAACTATCATCATGTACATTTCAGCGTCCTGCCGAACTATCAGCAAACGAACGGGGCGTCCCGTCTCTCCTAGGACGGTTGAGGCCTATTTATCGGGCATTGCATCAGCTTTCAGTTCTTGCTATCCTAAAATTACCGACATCACCAATAGTAAACCCGTACACGACGTATTAAAAGGTTGCATGCGTCAATTCTCTCTTCCTGTGCTCCGGAAGGAGCCTCTTTCCCTACAAGACCTCGTCTCGGTCCACTCTGCAACCCCTCACGATTTTGACTCAATTTTGTTTCTAGCTATGCTGGTGTCGGGTTTCCATGCTCTACACCGGCTGGGCGAGTTGACCGTACCCGACAACGCCGGCGCGAGGGACGTCAGAAAGCTTATAAAGCGTTGTGGAAAGCAATTCCTATGGCTTAATCCCATATCATTCTTTTATTTTTATTATACCGTAGATCAGCACTCAACACGTACATGAGAACAGAAAAGATATAAAAATTGCTCTCTTCAAAGTCTCATTAAAGCGCATTCAGTCTCAATCAAATTGCTATTATTCATTAAATTCCGATGTACTTTCTATTTTTATTTACAACTTCAGAGATCTATTTAGTAACTAGCAAATTGGGCGGCGGGCGCCGCCTTTGTATCTAGAGTTGAGCTTGTTTGATGCAACCACTGAAGTTAAACAATCAGAAAAAGACCTCATTGGATGTTTTTCAAATGAGATGCTCTGAATGGGGGCCTCTCACAAGTAGATTTTTAAGGCAATTGAATAAAAAATTAAATCTTGGTCAAGTCCGCCGTGTGATCTAAGTCAATTTGTATGTCTGAATGGTTTGAATTGACAAACCAAAGGAGTTATTTGATCCTCTCAAAAAGCTTCTTTTGAGATGCTCTTGATGAGGACATTTCAGAAGTACTCTTGGATCCTTACCCAGCTACGTACACAAGATGCACATATGATTGGCAGATTTTTCAAGCCTTTCATTGACTTTGGTGCTGTGTACCATAGCATATTTTGATCATTGATATATTGAAATAGGCAAGTTTTGAGCAGTACCCTGTAAACTTCCTACAGAACTTTGGCATTTCAAAGCATGTTAAAATCCCAGAATTGAAGACTCTCCTTGGGGTTGAAAGCTCCA